CATGAATTTGACCCAACTCCAGGAGACAGTGGAAGACAGGAGGGCCTGGCGTGCTCTGGTCCATGGGGTCACAAAGAGTCAGACACGACTAAATGACCAAACAACAACAACAATTGACTCATTGAAACTATAATTAGAACTTCAAATTTTATAATTGATCAACCCTACTTAAAATTATTTCAGCAACTAGAATTGATTAACTGTGAAACTATATCATGGCAATTTAATAAACTGTATACATCAATTAACTTTTAAAATCAGATTTATATAATTTATTCTCACATTGCACTTTAACTACACCAGCATTTTGTCAGGATTTGTTCCTTTAAGTGAACAAGGAGTTAAATTTAATATTCTAGTGGAAATGCAAAGTCATGCCTGTAATGTCAAGTCAATGTATGACTGATAGCATACAGGAAGCTTAAGTAATGCTTGCCAACCATGTTCAGTTGCCGTGTCTGAAGTAAGGCTTGCCAACCATGTTCAGTTGCCGTGTCTGCAGTGATATGATGCTCTCACTATTTAAAAGAGTCAGAACAGTACTTTGCCACAGAGTTGTGAGTCTGGTAGTCATTACTTTACTTGAATGTGAAGTATTATGTTGCTCTGAGATGTCTATGTCAATGTATATGTTGCCATGTATATATGTCTGACCAAGTCTAATATAAGTCTTATCAGTACTCTCTCTGTGTTATTTCTCATACGTCTGCATCTTTACTCTGCTTCTGAAGGGGAGGATTTGAAGCTACCAAAGAAGAGGCTCTGTGTAACTTGTTACCTTTGGTTCCAAGGTCTGTTTTTCCCTAACAGAGTGCTGTGAGATGCTTCATTATCCATATCGGACTCCTAGCTTTTGGAGAGGCAATATGCCATATCAAGCCTCTGGAGTTGGCCCTACGCCAACACATTTGTCATCAGAGACTGTAGTCCTGTGTTGTAGTGTAGGGAATGAATAACATTCAGGCAGTAACGGGCAGGAAAAAGTAGTGCTGGCCCAAGGGCAAGTAGAAAGGGGGTCAGATATCTGAAGCCTGTCCCTTCTTCTAGCTTGGATGCCAGAGCCAAATATGAGGCAACATGCTCAGGAAACCCTTGTGACTGTGTGAGTGGGTTCCAGACTAAGACCCTGTAACAAGGACTTATAAAGAAAAGGGAGAATGACAATCGCCTTCTGGGAACGGATATGTGCACTAGAAAGGCCATGGAAAAAGCTGAAGTAAGCAGGAGAAAGGGAGGCAACAAGAGATGGATGTGCAACATTGAAGGGCCCAGAGAACAGCATATCTACAAGTGGATTATCTGGATATGTAGATAAAGATCCATTTCGGGTTTTCCTGGGGGAAAAGTAGAAGCTGGAAAATGACTCGTTCACGAAGAGGACTATTTGAACCCAAAACAAATCTTTATTTACATGTCCAGATAAAGGCAACTATCATTCTCCCTTTTCCTCATAAGTCCTTGTTACAGGGCCTTAGTCTGGAACACACACTCACATGGTCATAAGGGTTGCCTGAGCAAGTTACAACATATCTGGCCACTGGCATTCAAGCTAGAAGAAAAGACAGGATTCACATATCTTACATCCTTTCTTCTAGACCTACTTGCTTTTGGGCCAGCATGGATTAGGGATGGGGCTGGTTTACCGTGTTCCCCGCAATCCAGCACTCTCTTTTCCAGAGCTGGTGGACTTCATCTCGGCAACAACACTGAGGTCCCCCAGAGTCTTGGTTCTGGGTGATTTCAATGTCAATCAGCTTCAGGCTCTCCTGGAGGAAACCAATGCCCTTGGTACGTTCCAGTCAGGGTTTAGGGACTGAACCGGCATTGATCGACTTCCAAGATGGCCGACTGGGGCAAGACATCCTTGTTGGTCCTCCTCAATCATTCAGTGGCTGTTGATATCACTTGATACCTTGCCCTCAAGGAGACACTCATTAGACCCATTAGGAAGAAACCGAGCTAATGACATAGAAATCCCTAAATGGTTTAGGACTTCACTGTCTGGCAGAGTGCCTTCTCTCTCCCCCCCACCCGCAGTTCTGCCAGAATCACTTGTTCCAGCCAGGCCAGGCGGCTGAGGGACCTAATGCTGAGGGAGGTCCAGAAGGAACGAACAAGGAACAGAGCCTTCTCAGCAGTGGCCCCTCGTCTTTGGAACAACTAGCCCGTGGAGATCCGCCTGGCTTCCTCTTTTGGTGTTTTCAGGAATAAACTTAAAACCTGGCTATTTGGGCAGGCTTTCCCTCCGGCCATATCTTAGTTTCTTATACAGTACTTTGCCATGATGGATCTATAATATATGGTTTTGGTTTTATTGTTTTTAAATTTGTAAACTGCCCAGAGTAGACCTTTGGTCTAGACGGGCGAGACAGAAATGCAATAAATAAATAAATAAATAAATAAATAAATTGACGACAGTATCCTCCTGGGGAGACTCTTGGGGTTAGGGATGGGGGGGCAGGCCTTGGCCAGGCTTCGGTCCTACCTTGAGAACGATCCTCAGAGAGTTCAGCTTGGGCAGATGCTGTCCGCTCCGTGGACTCTCAATTATGGAGTCCCACAGGGGTTAATTATCTCTGCAATGCTATCTATATGAAGCCGCTGGGAGAGGTCATCAGAGCTTTTTGTCAGCAATATGCGGATGACACGAAATTCTATCTCTCCTTCCATCCTTCTGCAGTGGATCCTGTCCCGTTGGTGAGGCATTGAAGAGAAACTGAGATCATCACCTGGCACATCTGCTTTTATGGTATTACTGCCTTGAGCAGGGGGCTGAGCTAGATGGCCTTGTGTTGTTTGATTCTTCATGACCCCATGAACCAGAGCACACCAGGCCCTCCTGTCTTCCACTGCCTCCCGGACTTGGGTCAAATTCATGTTGGTCGCTTCAATGACACTGTCAATTTCTATGAATGAAGGTTGGGGAGAACCATCTCAGCAATACTACAACCAAGAAGGATCTTGGAATCGTTGTAGATCACAAGCTGGATAGGAGCCAGCCATGTGATGTTGCTACAAAAAGGACAAACACTATTTCAGGAAGCACTGAGACTCAATGGCCTCAGAGGTCTCTTCAAACTTCATGATTCTGGATTTTTTTGGTTTATCAATGTTTTTATGAAGGCTAAAAGGCTCTCTTCCACCTTTCCCTCTCCAAAAGAACCCCCCACACAGGAGCAGCTTGGAAGGAGATATCCCACACCATTCGGCGTCTCACCCAGAGCAGTTAATGCAGGGTTGAGCTGAGCAAGATTGGGAACTAAAATAATAATAACACTCTGCACATGTTGAGAGAGGCAGCATGGTTGATAATCAAAAGGGGACTCCTGCAACCTGGGCTCAAAGTCCCACCTGGCCTGGGAAACTCACCAGTCGTGTGTGTGCTTCTGGTGCTTTTCTTTGGCAAATGGAAGGTTTCCTCCCCCCCTCAGGTTGGCTGGAAGTCACTTCAGAGGCTATGAAACGAAGCAGACAGAACAGAAGCAAAGTGAAGGGAAATAGACGGAGGTTTCACACCCACGTAGCCCTCTGTGAGGGACGGAGAAGAACAGGTCAGGTCAAGCCCATTTCAGTGGCCTCTCGATCCCTCAAGAGCAGCTACGGGAGACCTGGAGGGTGGCGGCCCCCTCCCCAAAAGGCTCCCTGGGGCTGCTGGTGATGGGGCTCAAATGCTTTGACATCCTTATCCCAGCTGCAGAAAGAAATGGCATTCTGCTGACGGGAGAGTAGGTGGCTGGAGAGCTCTGGGGTTTTGGATCTGTGGCTGCAGAGCCAGAAGTTGGGAGTTCAATTCCCCCCCTTGGGCCACCTCCCACGAGAAGAGCCAGGATGGCCTTGGGCCAGGTCCACCGTCCCCTGAGAAGGGAAAGGGAAAGGGCTTCTGAGGACTCCCTCCCTGGCAAAGTTTGGAGGGATCTGGCATTTGATCTCCTCTCATTCATTCCTGGGAAGAAATGGGAGAGATTGGCTCAGTCTCCCCTCCCCCTCTCTGGGAGAAGTGAAGAAGCCAAAGGATCCCTCTGGAGAGATCCCGGGAGGAAGGAAGAGCAAAGGCTTCCCCTCTGGACAGCTGCCTTTCTCCTTCTTCCATCTGGTGGGGCCGAGAAAGGAGCAGTGGATGAAGGAACAGCTGGGAGGGACGGGTCTTTTGTAGATGGGGTGGCTCTGAATGGCACCTCCAGGAGAAAGGCCCCAACCAGAAAAGCCTCTTCCTTGCAGCCAGGAGAAATGGAAGGTCAGACATCTGAGGGGAAGAAGGGAATCCTGTCACTCTCAACCCCCCCTTCTCCCCCAAAGCCCCATTTCTGGGAGCCATTCTCTTCTCCACTTTGCAGCCCCCTACCTCCCTCCCTGTATCCCCAGGACAGAGGGCCTTACAGTAACCTTTCCAAGTCTGGGAAAAAGAGGGGGCTCAGGCTGGGTGGGGGTTGTATGGAGGTTGGAGCAATTGGGAGAGGAGTGAAAGAGCACTGGGAGGAGGCTCCCTCCTTTCCCCCTCTGCCCCCCGAAAAGGGTGTCTGCAGGATCAGGGGAAAGAAGGGGGTCTCCTCGCAGGAAAGCCAAGGAGGACCCACTGACACACACAGACTAAGGGCCTGGGTACCTTACTCGGGCAGGGGGAGGGCGGGATGAAGACCCCTCCCAGACTTCCCATCTGTCCCCCCCTCCAAATTTACCCCCAGGACAGTGATGGCGAACGTACGGCACACATGCAACATCTAGCATGCGGAGACCTTTCCCCGGGCACATGAGCGGAATGCTACCCCCACAAAGCAGAATCATAAATTGCACAATTATAAGCCACCCATCCATGCTACCTTCCTTGGTTGCGGCACTAAATAATTTAGTTATTTTAGAAATCAGAGATAAGGCTGCTTTAATATTTTTCTGCTGTAGAACAGGCCGGGGCAGTCAATCTGGTCTGTGAATTCCTACTTCCACCAGACATGACTGCAAGCAGGAGGGAAAGCTCCAATTAAGGTGGGAAGGAAGGTGCAAGAGGCGGACGGATTCATCAAGCTTGTTTAAAAGTAATGAGAGGAAACAGGGACATACTGAACTGATACAAATCATTGCTGAAAATCCAAGGAGGAAGGGTGTGAGGTTGTGTCTGTGAGAAAGTGACACTTTTGTAAAACTATGAAAAAAGGAATCTTCCAAATTTTGTGTGTATGTGTGTGTGTGTGTATGAGAGAGAGACACAGACTTGACTCCTAAAACCTGAATTAAAAAGGCATCAAAAGCTAATCACAATGGGTGGATTACATTGCATTCAAAAGTATCCAGTAAAGGATTTTGGTAAGATTGTATTAGGGTACACATTTCATATTTTTTCCTGGTCAGCCTTACAAATTGCTTTCTTTTTGACGGAGTGGGAGGTGGAAGTAATTTTAAAGCATTTTTCACATAGTTCTATTTTTAATCCAAAATATAGCCCTGCAATGTCTTTTTGTGGTAAGTAGGGAAATTAATAAAAGACACCTAATCATGTTTGTCTTAAAACAACCTTTGATGAAAAGATTTTTCTGCCCTCTACACAATTTGAAATATTTAAATATCTAATATTTTATTATGTGATTATTTAATTGTCATTATATTATATTTTTTGTTTGGCTGTTTTATGAACCACTCAAATTAGCCTGGCTAGATAAGTAGCATACAAAAGAAAGAAGGAAGGAAGGAAGGAAGGAGGGAAGGAAGGAAGGAAGGAAGGAGGGAAGGAAGGAAGGAAGGAAGGAGGGAAGGAAGGAAGGAAGGAAGGAGGGAAGGAAGGAAGGAAGGAAGGAAAGAAGGAAGGAAAGAAGGGAAGGGAAGGGAAGGAAAAAGGAAAGGAAAAGGAAAGGAAAAAGGAAAGAAGGAGTTTTAACTTGGCAGGAATAGGTCAAGGTTTGAAAAATTATAGTACTATAGAAATAGATCAGAAATATATCATTAGAGCTTCATCATATGTTATGGGATGGAGCTCTGCAATCCTGTGACATAACACTTCTAAAATGCAATGCTATCCATGTTTATACAAGCGTAAATCCCTTGTAGTCAATGGTGTTTATAAGACGACAGGTTTGATAAATGATTATTCATTAATCTTTGTGGTTTTTTAAAGGACAAAGTAACAGTATGAGTATTTAATCCATTCATTAGTTAAGTACAGTGGTGCCTCGCTTAACGAGCGCACCGTATAACGAAGAATCCGTATAGCGATCCCTTTTTGGGGATCGCTATACGGAGCTGCCCCAATCGCCGCACTCGCTTTGCGACGATTGGGGCGTCCAGCGGCCACTTTGGAGCCGCCAATCAGCTGTTCGGCGGCTCCAAAATGGCCGCCGGATGACCCAAAATGGCCCCCTGTCAGTGTTTTTGCGCCCTCCCCTTGCTTACCCACATCGCTGGAGGGGTAAGTTTTGGCGCCTATTGGAACGCATTAAACTAAGTTTAATGCGTCCCAATAGGTTTTTCCTGCCCCGTACAGCGATGTTTTCGCATAGCGAAGGTTAATCCGGAACGGATTAACCTCGCTATGCGGGGCACCACTCTATAACCTTCAGAATGCCTGCTTTATTTGAATATAGTTATGTCATTTATCAGGTTCGTTAGGTGATCTTCGTTAAGGTACTGGTATGATCCCGATCATCTGAAGCTGCAGCAAAGGGTCCCCAAACCTGGGAGCATTGAGAAACGCTGCCATGATAGATGTGACCAGTCACGGGACACTCTGGAAAACAAACTGGTGAAGTGAAAAAAAAAAATTTCTTTATGTATTAGATTTCTATCCCGTCCATATGGACCGAAGGTCTACTCTGGGCAGTTTTCTTTTCTTAGCAAAGTAGCTTTTCTAAGAAAAGCAGACAACAGAGATGGGGGTTCAGCTTTAAAAAAACACTACTCTCTGAGCTCCTCCCATCTGGTCCTCTTTATTGTGAACATTTGTTGGTGCCATTGGCTTTTGTCGTTTTGATTTCTCATTCCTGTTTCTGTGACATTTTAGTGTCTATAGTTTGTATGTCCTGGTTTGTAATTGTCTATAAGCTGCCCAGAATAGTGCCTTGAGACTAATGAGATGGTATATAAATTAAATATAAATAAGTCTAAATAAAACCATGAAAAAAAGGAACCTTCCAAAGTTCATCTCCACTGCATTTAGCTCTGCAATTTTTGCTGAGAACAGCAAGTACAGTATTCCAAGATTCTGTTTAGACTCTAAATTGAACTGGGCAGAACTGGAATATTTAGCAGAGTCTCACTAACAGCAAACACAGAGTAAAAGACAACTGACACACCTGGGACTAGATGTCTGAAGTGTGTAGCAATAACATTTATCTCTTTCTCATCCGCAAAGGAGGCAAGAGTATCATAGTTTATTCCCCAAATCTGAATCCCAGTCTCTCTTCTCCTGGCCCTGCATTGACTGCAACACCACACAAAAAGTCTTACAAACAAAAGACTGGTTTTCTTTATTGAGTCAATCCATCTGATGTGCAGTCTTTCTCTTTTCTTTAGAAATAGGGTGCACTGAATTCAGTGTAGCTGGAGAAATCCATAAAGAACCAGAGAGACAAAATGTGTAAATGACACGAGTTGTTTTTTTCTAAACTAACTTCAATATTCAGGTTTAATTGCAGTGTTGGCAATTCAAAATAAATAATTTGATTTTGTGTTGCCTTTTGGGCACTCGGGCTCAAAAAGGTTCACCATCACTGCCCTAGGAGGAAGAGGAGAATCCAGAGAAAAACAAAATAGGTGCCCCCCGCAAGGCTTTGCACGTTGCAGACAGAGCTGGAGTGGGCCCCCAATCCGGACTGCACCATCTCTGTGGGTTTGGGCTGGGGGAGGATCTTTTTCATTTTGTTTCTTAAATGTATCTCTGCAACGCC